GTGAATCGCCACGACCACGACGGCCACCATCAAATGAAGGGGTCACTATCAGCCTCATTCTCTCATGTACAGTATATCCATTTCTACTTGTGTACGTAGCCACATGTTTGACCAACCGAAGTGGTTAATAATAGATAGAACTGTGTTGTCAACTTGAAGGAAGATGGATGAGTTATGATTTGATGAGTTGATGAGTTGGATGAATTGAATGAATCTTTATTCAATGGACTCAATCCAGTTCTTCTCCATACCGTAAAGTGTACACGCTTCTATTCCCTTCTTCTCCTACCTGTACGAAGTACATAACACATAACATAATCATCAACCATGTCGAGATCTTCATTGCTGGTACCCACTTCCGACAATTTTTTTTCTTCTTCATCCTCCAGACCTTCCTTCACACAGTACACACACAGACATAGCCGGCCATAAGTAGGTTCAACCTAACATAAAGCACCAATGATCTCAGTCTTTACAATCATCACATTTCATACTTAACCACTGGTCCTAACCTAACCTATGGCTCTTGACCATGACCATGACCATGACCTTGGTTTTTATTTTTTTTGTCTTTAAAGAGCTAAACTCCCACTTTCTCAAAACGATTGAAGCCATCATCTTGTCTTGTATCGTTTCCAATTACAATTTTCATCGCTTATTATTCATGCTGCCATGAAACCAGCCAACCAGCCAACCAGCCATCCAGCCAACCAGCCATCCAGCCATCCAGCCATCCAGCCATCCAGCCAACATTCTCAAAGCACAGTACGCATTCGGGAAAGCCGGACACAACGTCAATGAGTAAGTGATGAGTGAGCAACAAAAAGTCGGAGTCTCGGCCGATTGAGTCTCTGGAGTCTGGGCAAACGCTGGGTATGATGGTATGAAGAATACCTGTGAGGTATATCTGTAAGGCTTGGTACCGTACATTACGAAGTACGATTAATTAACTCCGCTACACTTACTCTCATTGCTTTACCAGATATCTCTTACGCTACTATCCATACGTATAGAATTACACAATAACTACACAGCACAGGACAGGACAGTAGCAACGAACGCGTCCACATTGCTCTAGAGTGGGCGGAAGATGTTGATGGCTTGGGGCGGGGCTTGGAGGGATTTGGCTTAGATGATGATTAGAAAGTTGGATGGCTTTGAAGAAAAGAAAGAAAGCGACGTATGAAAGCCCTCCAAATTCTCTTTTCGATCATCAATACTGCGCCGCATCAGGTATGCTGAAAATGCAAATGATTAAGATTGATTTGATTGAAGGAGGCTGATTTATTGTCTGTTTCGATTCCAAATTGCCATACGGTTTATTACTGTTATCATTATCATTATTTATCATTATTATCATTATTATCATTATTTTATGGTCAAACGGATGGATTACTTTTAAAACCTCTCTTATCAATATTCACTCACTCACTCACTCACTCACTCACTCACACACACTCTCTCTCTCTATCTAATCCCAAACCCAAAACCCCAAACCCAATCCAACAAATCCAACAATCAATCTTCACTCTTGCTTCACTCAAAACACACTACATCATACAAGCAAATCATACTTCAACCCAATTTTCAATCCATCTCCTTCTTTCCTTACCTAACCTTGGAACCCTCTTGATTTAATCATATTACAAACTACAAACATCGACGTCAACATCAACAACAACAACAACATCAACATCGACACCGACACCGACACCGACACCAGCTTCAATACCAACGATTCAACTAAAACTCAAGCAAATTTATAGGTATTGACATTTTATTATCTACATACATATATACATACGTACATACATACATTCATACGTACATTCATACACACATTCATCCATCCATACATCCATCCATACATCCATCCATACATCCACCCATACATCCACCCATACATACATATTGGTACAACCAAAAAATCAAAGGGGTTATCGTTATCGCAAATCCCGAACCCGATTCACCGATTACATTCCAACCCCATTCCGGATTTGCGCAAAGGGGCGGTCGGCGGTCTGGCTCTGGCTCTGGCTCTGGCTCTGGCTCTGGCTCTGGCTCTGGCTCTGGCTCTGCTTCTCGTTCGTTCTCCTTCTGGTTTTGTATCGTGCATCAATCAATCAATCTTTATTCACTTGATTTGTATTGTATTGTACAACATTCATTCTGCAGAGCAGTAATGCAAAGTAGATGATATATAGTGTCTCTGTAAAGGGACTCGAGAGTTGTGTCTCTTTTGATTTTAATTTGTGTTAGTTATTGCTATTGCCTGCTATTTATCGTTGTTTTTGTTATTGCTTTTGTGCTCTCACCGTACCCAATCGAAACAATGTCCAGTTACCATGGAGATCATGGATCTAAATCTAGGTCTAAGGTCAAACCCGTTTTTAAGAAACTGATACAAAGCGAAAAGAATTCACTAGACTTGGATCGGCCAGCGGCGGAACAGCAGGATGGCCTCGGAATATTTGATTATGGCGCTGGCTACAGTTCCCGTTCCTCTCACGACATTGCATACAACAGTCGAGAAGGAGGCAGAAGAGGTTTTCATGCTCGTTCAACCAGCGGCACATCTCAATTTTCGATAGCAACAACAGGCAGTGCTCAGCGTTCCGGCTCATTCGTACATCCTTTCCAACAAACCCCGCGACCATACACTCCTCCTTTAGGTGCCTCCTATCAAAACTCAATTCGCGAAAGTGAAGCAACAAACAGCAGCATTGCACTTACCGAAGATGAGGATCAGTTACGACATACTTTCCGTAGTACAGCCAATTTGTCAACTCAAGCAAACTCAATGACTGGTTCAACAAATCCCATGCTTCAGCAAACCCTAAGAATTCAAACCAAGCTACCGCCGACTTCATCAAGACTTGTTCACGCAGCATCACATACAAGTCCTGTGCTGTCCCCTGAAGTAACCTCACCACTCGACACCATGTCACCCACTTCCCCATCTATCCGACAATCTATGGAAGGATTTCGTCTTCGAAGTCGCAGTGAGGTTGATAATCGTCGGCGCTCGGAAACAATACAAGAGGCACGTCGCAAGTTCCAAGAAAAAGAGAGGGCGAAAGAAGAAAAGGCAGCGAGAGAGGAAATTCGAGCAATGGAGAAGAAGCAACAGAAAGAAGCAAGACAGATTGAAAGGGGACATCGCCGTTCTTCTGCTAGCGATAATCTACCTACCCGATCAAAGAGATCTAAGTCTGATCTTACTATACACGAGAAAAGTGAAGGAATTTTTGGACAAAGTTACAATACTGCAACAGTTGCTGCCCCTCCCTTTCTCTCCGAGGAACATAGTCGGGGTTCGCCGAACAGAAGTCATACTGCAATGTCAAATACCAAAAAGAAAACACACAATGCTTGGACAAAACTGATGATGTGGTTAAAGACTCGGTTTATGCGACTGGGTAAAAAGTCTAGCAGAAAATAACATATTTTCTGTTGTTACTTGAGGGAATAGGGATTCAAATATGAAGAAATTACCAAACTCTTTCTTGATAATCTGCAAGTCTGATACTGGTCTTCTTCACATCTCTATTCCCCATTTGTCCTCCATGTATTTGTTGGATGACCATCTTCTTACTCTCCTTAAACATGATTTTACGATTTATTTTGTCCTCTGGACAGGCGTTAGGGCAGGTACACACATGATTTATACCAGAGGACCAGCATCGAGAAATTCGACAGCTTACATTTTTTCCCATCACACGCGACACATCAGCGAGGCGTTTTTGGATCATTCATTTTTTAACAGTACATCAAAGTACTTCCTTCTGGGAACAGGGCCTCTGGTTAGGGAGAATTTTACATATGGGTTTTTGATGGGATTGGATTTTTCGCTCATCGTTTTCCTTTTCATTGCGCGGCCGGAATTGCCTTGCTTTGTTTGTTCTTCGCGTGCATGGAGATGGAGATACAGTTTGGAAGTGAAGTGCCCTCTTGTTGTTTGGAGGGGAGCTACACTTTATGGGAAGAGAATGTTGTTTTTAGATGGTGGGGATTATTGGGAATTAAAAGATCTGATTTGTTATTTTGCTCGGTGGGGAAAGTTTGCGCATGGCAGTCAGTCACTAGCATGCTTCCATGGAGCTGGCTTTGGCTGCGCATTCGATGGGATGGGATAGGATAAGGCGGTTTTTTTGAGCACAGATAGATTAAGAACAATGGAGAAAATATACTTAAAAATAATCTATGCCTTGCTTATGTGTTTGTGTGATTGAGGAGGTAAGAGAGTAATCTAGGTCATGCTAGAAAGGTCGTGCTGTATTGGCTTGTCTTTGACTTTGTACTTGTACCGCTTGATCTCTATATAAAGAAGACCAGGGGATGATTGAGACAGAGCAAAGAGAGCAAAGAGAGGATAGAAGTGTGTAATAGATAGACTTGATGGGTTGATGGGTGGTTGGGTGGAAAATATAAAAAGTCTTTTTAGATAAATAGGAGGGAGACGAATAGGGCAATAGTAATATGATTGATTAATAACGATTCAAAGAGTACTTTGTGGTTTGTTGCTGATGTGATGGAATATTTATGGGAGGTGAGGTATGAGGTATGAGGTATGAGGTATGTTTGTGATGGTAGATTGATAAATGGATAGATTGAGACCATGAAGTTAATGGGGGGCGGTTGGGATCGAGATTGACATTGAATGAAGTTGAGGTAGGGGAATATTTTGGGTTTTTATTTATTTATAAATGTATGTTGGGAAGGAAGAAAAGAAGGATTGCTTGGATGGGATAGATAGGCTTGGGAACGCGGGGATTTGGAAATTTAGGATTTGGGTGATTAGTAACTGGGAACTGGGAATTAAAAGTATTTTTTCTGTCTTGAGAGAGGGAGAGGGAGAAGGAGAAGGAGAGAAAGTATATCTTTTTATATTTATTCGCAAGAATACATAAAGCCCCTCTAATGAATACATACATACATGCAGGCATACTTAATATCTCCCCCCCCCCTCCCCGTCCTCAAAATTCCCCAAACAAACAACCTCACGTCCGCACTGTAGCATTCCAAGCCGAGTACCGCACAATCTGTCGAAAATGTCCATACAGACCAATGCCACTCCCGAGTATCAGATAGAGCGGGTAGAGAAGCGTGAATTTGAGCATCATCCGTTTGCTGACGAATTCGGAGAGAATGAAATAGGTTATTAGGAGGCTGCCGATTAGGCAGAGGGTTCTGGGGGTGGAGAGGGGGGTTAGTTTGGGGGTTGGATTGGATAGGGAGGGATTGGAGGGATTGGGGTGTGGCAGTGTGTGATGGAGAAAAATCACATACCCAATAATAAACAACCATTCCGAAGCGGGAAACTCGAAGAAAATCAGATTTTTCAATTGTGTTCCTGTGCGCGGAAACCCGGTGATTAGGAAACTCATCATCAAACACGTATATTGCGACACGAGATAGTAGCTCAATTCCCGGATGAGCAGTAGAGAGAGCAGACCAAAACGCGTGAGCAGATTGCGTTTCGTGTGGTGTGGAGGTTTGCGGTATGCGAGGGCGCAGTGGCGGGCGCTGGCTTGCGTCCAGCCTTGGGCCCAGCGGAGACGCTGTTTGAGAAAGGAGGAGAAGGTTGTGGGGGCCAGTTCGTAGGAGATGACGTTGGGCTCGTGGATGCAGGTGGCGCCTTGGGAGAGGGCGCGGAGAGCGGAGTCGATGTCTTCGGTGAGCATGCTAGCGTCCATTTTGAGATCGCGGAGGAGAGGGGCGCGCCAGTAGCCGTTGGAGCCTGGGAAGGGGGTTAGAGATGTTGGGGGTGGATGGGTATAGGTTGGAATGGAGAGGGGAAAAGAATATGTTTACCGGTGAATAGACCATAGCCAAATAAGGCAGCGCGCCCGGGATGGGATGTAGCATAGATCTTGTCGAATTCTACTGCAATCATACCAGTCAAGAATGTCGCCTTGGAATTCTGAATCACACATCGTCCTTGCACGCAATCGACTTCATCGTCGGCTAGAAATCTCTCGACTGCCCATCGTGGTCCATACGGATGAGTATAGTGATCGCAATCGAACAAGGCAATGATTTGTGCTCCAGTATATAAGGTAAAGAAGTAATTGAGATTATGTGCTTTGGAAGTGGAGTCCGGTACTTTGATTATTCTCAAGCGAGGAATTTTTGCAGCGAGGTCATTCATTTGGGATTCGAGCGGCTCGATGGGCTTGGGCGTATTGTATAATACGTTGATCCGGATCTTATCTTGGGGGTAAGCAATATGGTCTAAAGCGTAATAGATTCTATCCATGATAATATCTTGCTCGTTGGGGAGATATGCGACGATAACAAGATCCAATATTAAGAGTTGATCATCGGGAGTAGGAAATTTCCAGCCATTTTGCTCCACGTTGTAAAGTGCTTTTCTTGCGATTCTGTTGGGCTTGAGACTGCAGATGGCTTCCATAACATTCGTGGCTGCTGTGTAGGAATTTGTAGAAAGATAGATAAGCCAGAAAATCTCTATCAACTTTGGCGTGCAAAACATGTAAAGACATGTTGAGAAGATAAAATAAGAGATGATTAAGAGGAAGGGCGTCCAATCCAGTAAGAAAGCTGAAGCTCTAGAAACATGATTACACAGAGCAACAGGCTTTGAAGGAACAGATAGCTTCGACATTCTGCGAAGAAGAACAAGAAATGAAAGTATAAAATTCTACCTAAAGGAATGACTACGAAAGAGGGATATGTACAGGAGTAAAATGATAAGAACAGACAGGCAACACTTTACGCTTTTTCGAGGTCCGAATGAGATTCAAGATCGTGATTGAGATCCATCTCGATGTACCCTTGGTATTATCCACGAATAGTATCATACCCAAGCTGATCAAACTATTGAAAGCGGGTGGCTCTGTTGGCAATATCCATTAGCACATCTGGCAATGAGATGTCCGAGATGAGAAGATGAAAAATGTGATATGTTAATTTTATATGGAAACTTGTGTCTTGAAATACAGCAGTGAGGCTTGTAGATGTTCTAGATTCTTGAATAATTTTTCCTCTCTTTGAGATGCATTCTGTCATCAATTCTCTATCTTTCGTCACATAAAGCAACGAGCAGCCTGGGAGGCGTTTATGTCGAATGCTTCATGCCATTCGGTGAACGTATATCGAAAGTACATTTGACAAGTGAATTTCAATATTGACATGCAGATCAACAACAAATAATTTATTTATGTTGTCGTTGGACAACTGAAGTTCGAGAAAAAAAGAACTCATGAATCTAAATATATCCATCGCTGGAAAGACCCGTCGGGAGCTAAAAAGCCACTGAATGAGCCACTGAAGCCACCCTAAATCTTTGGGCACGTGCGGGGCTACAATCTTCTGATGAGATCTTCCTCAACTACTTGTGAAGCATGCGCAATTCACAACATATGTTTATACTGGCTGAGATATCTACAATTTACATTTAGTCTGAGACTCAACTGTCTTGAAAAGTAGATTTTGATAAGACACCATGATTTATGGACGTCGGCCTCAGCCTGGAGGAGGATCTGGGCGCCTGAATTTGATATTCACAGCAGTCCATGAATATGCAATTTAAGATTTATGTTATGGTATGATAGATGTGAGCTCGAAGAATTCCTCTACTCTCATTGCTTGCTGTTCTTATTGTTGATCATGTATACTCTTTCTATTCTGTCTTTACTCTTCACAGTTGCAACCTCTGTCTACGCCGAATCTTCTTCTTCTACCACTACGATCGCCCCGAGTGATGATTGTTCTTGTGGATATTATGATGTAGTAACTGGAAATCTCTTTACGGAATCCCTGATTACTTACTTCAATGAGACCGATACTCTTTCGGACGAGTTTATACTTCAATCCTATGAAAACAAGTACGAGAAGGATTACAACAGCATATTTCGCCAAGGTTCTAATCCTGTGAATATCAATCTTCTCAACAGTTCATCAGTTGTATCCAACAATCATGATTCTACATCTCAAGTTCTGTTAAAATCACGTTCTTCACGAGATACATCGTCAAACTCTACTCGCGGGACCAGCCCGACAACAGCCAGTGGAGAGGCCGGTAACTCTTCAATTGCCAATGATACAACATCACTGTTCTCTCCATCTGGTAGATCCTTTACTTCATCCTTAAAATTGTCTGTTGACCCACCAGATAGGGATCACTTAGTCACAGGTGGTGGTATCAAGACTGTGAGACAGGATATTCAATATGGTTCCGCACGGGCATATCTTCGTCCCTCAAGTCAGGGGGTTGGAGGAACTTCGCTCTCGATGATGTTCCGCTACAACGAATCAGAATCTATGGAAATGAATATCATGAACACCAACCAAAATTCAAGTGCTTGGGTTACGAGTTTGATACATTCGGAATTTCCAAATCCATCGTTGGGCACAAACTTCAGTATTTTTGCCGAGAAGAATATCTCTCTATATGATTACAACGAATTTCGACTGGATTGGACAAAGAACGAAGTTCATTGGTACATTGGAAAGGATCTTGTTCGATCATTTTCTAAAGAAAATGGCTCTATGCCATCTACTCCTTCTCCCTTCTTTATCAAGCATTGGTCTACAGGAAATCCATATTCTATGCAAGGTCCACCCGTCTCTATCTCCGAAGCGAATATTGGGTGGGTCCGACTATTCTTCAATTCATCGTTAATGAATTCCACGCATCATGCAGATTTCGATGCACGATGTAATGTTAAAGCCGCATGTTCAATGGAAAACACTACTTTACGTGGTTCTTCGGCTTTTCCATCAGCCGCTCTAAGTCCTTGGGAACACCGTGTTGCTCATGGTACACTTCGATGGGTAGCGATTTGGTTCAGCGTTGGCTGTATGTTCGCAACTTCGACAGCTTTAGCGAACGCTTTCCTTAGGCTCAAAGTCTTCAAGGAAATAGAAGAAAATCTCCAAAATCCTGCGGAGGATGAAACTAGTGTGATAAGCCCACCTTCCCCGCCCGACGCATATTCTAGAAATGCAAGCTTGACACCTGCCCCATCGTATCGGACAAGAATCGAATCTTATAATTCAGGGACATCAACTTTAGTGTCTTCATTCAATTTTTCGACCGCAAGCCATTCAGGTGAACGAGGCTTAAGCGGCATTGGGTCTATCGATCAAATATACAGCAAAGTCGATCACGAGTGGAAGATGCGCAGAAGTAGCTCAGGCGACAACACTGAAAATGCAATTTCTATCAACGATTTACCTCCTAGCCTATCCCCATCATTACCAAACTCGCCGAATTCCAGTCGATTTGATATTGAAATCAAAGACAAGCCTAAACGAGTCTCGGGACTTAACAACACTACCGCTGCTGATAACCTGGATCACATAAATCTCGATATAGAATCCAACGCTATACATCAGCAGCATCAGACAGATAGCCAATCTCGTCTAGATGGGAAGGATATGACAAACAAATTCCCCACATCTGCATTCTCAACACATGAAAGTGCATCTCCAACTGAAACAAGCCAAAGAGTCGACCACTTAGCAGGACTCATCACCATTGCAGCAATAAATGTAACCGTTCTTCATTTCTGCCTGACTTTCGTACCGGCCGTCATTGCCCCTGGTGCTTTTGCTCACTATTCCGCTGAAATATGGATCAACAAAACCATTGTACCTTTCTTTCTCAATCAAGGAGCCCTTGGTATTTTCTTCACCACCTCTGCACGATTCCTCGTTACTCCTTTTCTGCGCGATGGGGATGTCTCTTCTATATCTTCGAAGATAGTCAGTCGGGTCTTCCAAATCATGTTACCGGTTCTTACATTCGTCCTTCTAGAATACTTTCTCATTCTCTCAGGAGCAACTTATTATCTTCCTTTCTTGCCATCGATTACCTGGAGTACCTGGCCTTATGTGATTCCATTTCCTCATATCGGATATCTTCTCAATGAAGTCATCGCACTCGCTTATACAATCCCAAACGCAGTCCCTCTAATAACCTTCAACTACTGTACCGGCGTTCTCTGGACTATCCCCGTAGTCATTCAAGGATCATGGACTACGCTTCTTGCCATTCTTCTCATAACCTCTATTCCGAACCCGAAGAAACGTTTCCCATTCTATGTGTTCTCATTATTGATTAATTGGTACTCGCTCTCCTGGTCTTCGTTCTTCTGGGTCGGCGTTCTACTTACCGATCTCGAAATTACATACCACATGCCAAGATACCTGCACAAACATCCTTTAATCTATTACCCCCTGATTTTGATCCTCACGATTCTCGCTCTTCTAGCTCTTAGTGCAGATACCTTCAATCAATGGCTCAATTACAGCATCATAGCTAAAGAAACACTCATTCATCCCGACCCAAACACGGGTCTTCCAGCTACCATCACTCACAATTCCGGATATCCTGGTTATCCGGGGTATTGGGTTCCTCATTTCAATGGTCTCATATTCTGTACGGCCATCCAATGCCTTGCATCAATATCTCCTTTAGTTCAGTCATTTCTTTCGGCAAAACACCTCATGTTGTTATTCCCACATGTTTTCAGCATGTATCTATTCCATGGTATGATCTTCTGGTCTCTTGGTGCTTGGGTCTGTCTTACTCTTAACAACATCCTACCATACTGGGCAGTGTTAATTGTAACCGCTGTCGTGTGTTACACAGTTTTATTTTTATCATTACCTATGTTATCATTAATAGCGGGATTGTTTGGGAAAGGGTTAGCAGGCGATATCAAGAGGGACTCTCAAGAAGAGCCATTGAAGGGGCGGACAACATTAACACCGTTCGGAAGAGATTGGTTGAATCGAAATGGGATGACTGACGGTATTCCTGTAGTCGGTGATGAGGCATCGACTGAACAAAATAAGGTTGAAAGGATAAATGCAGGGCAGAAGAAAATGAATGAAATAGAGATCCGGGTTATCGAGTGCGGCGGGGAAGTTGGTGGAGATTCTAATGTTAGTTCTACCGACAAGGTGGACAGGCTTGGCTCTGCCGACGGCGAAGTGGGTGATCAAATCATTAAGGCTTGAGGTGGGAATAGAGGGCTATTTGTTGCTTGGTAGTGGGGATATATTCTAGAAGGTGTCATTTTCACACAAACTACCTAATACTTCTGTTATAAGAGATCAATTTTATTTCAATACCATCAATGCAATCCACTAAACAGCCCTTGTTTACATTCATTAAATCCGATGCTACCATCCAAAATGTAATGTTTCCCTGATGATTTTTTTATAAAAAAACTGGCTACTGTCTTAGTTTCACTTTAATAGTCTTGATATTGTGGAAATCTGATTTCCATTAGCCTACTGAGTTCTGACACGGTCTCTAAAATCCGCTGCTGCTGGAAAACTAACCCCTTTTTGTTACCCGAGACAAATCGCTTGTCAAGTCTCAAAATTATATTTATTCACATGAGACATGACAGCTGAACTCGAAGGTGGAGGATAATTTAAGCAGTAGTCTTGATAGTCTGCATAGCAAGGTAGACCTAGAATATTGGCTATGAGTAAGCAACCTGCCTTGACCTAAGTAGACTACCTATCTGAAGTGTCTTTAACAAGCTATCTTTCAAACTATCATGGAGTTGTATGCCTCTTCATTCCTTTGAATCGTCATTTATAGCCAAAAAGATTCAAGAAGTTGGCGATTATCACGACCACCATGAAGTCATTCGCACAACCGCCACCTCATGATACTGCACAATCTACCTATCTTCTAGGCCTACGCGGTTTTCTCATTTTGCAAGCTTTCCTCTGGATATTCCTACAAACTTTTGTTCCTGCTACAGTCAAAAGTAATATCATTACTTTTCCTACAGACACTCCGACTTATCAGAATCTCATTCGCAAGATTCTATCACCGATATTCTGGAATGAATCGCTTATTTATTCATCTTTTGTTTTCTTATCCGCAAGAGTTCTATGCATCTCTTTCATCAGTTCGCCAAGTAAACAAATAATTACATCTTCAATATTCCGAAGATCGTTCCGCCTCATAATCCCAACAATCTTTTCACTTTCTCTCGTTACACTCCTTTCGCAGACCACCTCCACTACTCACCTCGCATCCCTCTTCATTATCAAAACTAAGAACCCCAGTATTCAAGCTCTCTACACTCTTTGCTCGCCTATCCCCCTTACCCTCTTCAACTCCCTCTTCACCCTCTTCCTCTCTACTTCCCACACACCCTTACACAATTTATCCGCCGTCCTCGCGTTTCCATCCGGGACCCTATCAATTGTCCCCATCCTCTACTCCCAATCCTACACCCTCTACATCACCACTCTCATAATCCCCTACACTCGACCCCTCTGGCGCCTCAAATACTCGTCTCTCTTTCTTTTCACCGCCTACTGGGTATCCTCCTACTCCTTCATATCTATCAGCGGCCTCCTTCTAACCGACTTTCTCCTCCTGCCAAATTCTCCTCTCCTCATTATTTCCGCAGCCGGATTCCCATTGCCGAAACGGATCACCAGGAAAAGAATCCCGTCTTGGATTCCTTACACATTTATCCTTTTGGTCGGCCTCGGACTCCAATATTTCTATACCACTGCAGATTCAGCAGTGGGAACAGCAAATGCGGAATTGAAAGCTCATACGGACATTTATGGTTCTTTGGGTGGACTCAACACTACTCCGGATTTGAAGGAACAAACGCCTAGGATTGCGGATTGGTTGGTTTTGTGCGGTGGATTTTTGTTGTTGGAGACAAGAACATCGGTGCAGAATCTATTCAAAAATGCGGTGCTGGTTCCTCTTGGGAGGAGAAGTTTGAGTAAGTTATTGTTGTTTTGTATCGATATGGAAAACTGTAGACTGATAAGTGTTACCCAGGTTACTTCTTGACGCAATCGATTGTTATATATTCGGCAGCTATCCCTCTATATCTTCACCTGATCATGGATAAGGATGTCTCAGCAATAGCAGCGACTTGTATTTGTCTTGTGGTTTCAATTCTGGGGACGGCAGTGTGCGGTGAGATTTTCTATAGAATGATAGAGATTCCGAGTTTGTGGGCGGGTGTGTGGAGCTGGGATTGGATTAGGAGATGAGGAGACTGGGCCGCGGGTTGGTGAAAGTAATAATGTGCTGATAAATAATTATTATGGTATGTAGTTATTGTAGAAGAAGATGGGGTCGAAATTTTTACTCTGATTGGTTCATTGTATCCGTATGAAATTGTTGAGTTTAATATTCATTATTTGCATTATTGGCACGATCCTCAGACTCTTACACCTCACCTTAATGACTTTAGTACGCAAGATGAATATGGATTCAGATTCGAACTACACACAGAAGTACCGATCGCGGGTCATACTTGTTGTGTTCACGAAATAGAAAAGAGTTGAGGATAGAGGCAAACGGAGAAACAACTTTACGGATGTTAAATACGTTACGAGATGATGATCAATCCTGGGCTTGATTAACGAAATGTGCTTTCATATAAACTGTGATGTAGGTTAATAGAAAGAATTGAGGGCATTCGTAGATCAACTAGGTTCGCATAAGAACAAATGTTTGGAGAAGCTAGACAATTGATTAATATGCTTGTAGGTATATACATATCAATTTAATCTCTCGGCTCGCTGTCGCTTATATCAGGAATAAGCGAAAAGGCTCAAATGTTATCGTTACTACTATCCATGGATATCTTAGAAGCTAGCGAAAAGTTAGAGTAAAGCGTAAGGGGTAGGATGCCCTTTTTACGTCGGATCAATCATCAATTATGATTGAATAGGAAGATTTGTTTATTCATATGAGAGAATGAAAGTGATCATATGATATAAAGTAGAAAAATAACATAAATTGAAATAATGATATGAAGTAGAGTAATGTTATAAATTGGAATAATGATACGAATTGAAATGATCATATGAACTAGGATAATAATATAAACTGAAATGATAACATGAATTAAAACCATAAGATAAAATGAAATGATGATTTGAAATGAGACAATCATCGGATTCAGAGATTTCAGAGGGTTTAGAGATTTCAAAGGGCAACAGACGGTAACTCGATGATACCAATATCTACCTAGGTATTGTTTCATACTTTGACTTACAACTTCACGTAAACAGATTTCACTTATGAACATGGTAGTTTGGATGCATACTTATGTATTAATTAAATGGGTATAGAATGTACAAGTATCATAATCTCGTTAAGTTATGATGTTGTACATTGTGATAAAGTACATCCAAAAAAAGAAACAAGCCCCTCAGGCAAACCAGAACCCCCCCCCCAAAGCTCTATCCTATGACTCCGTGCAGTCATAGGCAATAATTACTACCGAGCTAAACTACGCTATACTAAATGGATGATTATTACAAATCATACATGTCCATGTCGTTGTAGTAGGCGTCGTCGAGTTGGGCTCTTGGTTGAAACCTCAGATTCTTTGAGGTATCGATGACCATCTCCGTGTTGGATTCCGAGATGGTGAGGATGTCCGGCAGCTTCTTTGCCATGACCCAAAGTGTCCATGCGGCATCGTTGCCGGCATTGTGCTGCCAGCCTGTTGCCACAGAGCTATTGTAGCCTAAGACCAAATTGACGAGGCTTCTACCCTGCTTGTTTCCCGGGGTAAGGTGCATGGCCTGAGTATCTAAAGCCTCAGGAAAGAGGGCGTCGAAGGCATTAATCCCCCCCATGCCCAAGATCTTTTGGTCATTCTGAATGGCGTGGCCAACCAAGACTACCTTTCCGTGCTTGCTCTCATCATCAATGAGCTTTTTGATGATATTGTTTGCTCCACCAAGCGGAATGACCTCAGTGCGGCCGTAGAGGAAATCGACCTTTTCGCCGCCCTTCAGCTTTCCGATTCTGGTCCTGTACTTCGCGAATTCCTTAAACTTAAGGTGGCGGTAGTTGGTGCCAGCTGGGGAGTCTGGATCATTTGCGAAAAGGGTCGCATTATTTCCATTGGCCCGAAGAATTGAGATGCCAATTTGGGTTGGCGTACCGCGAGTATAAGTTTTGTTATTAGCAAAACACGTGTAATCGTGCGTATTGGCCTCGAGGTCAATAGCGATAAAGACATATGGCTTGATTGGTGCCATAATCTTTGCCTCAGCGAGGGAGGCGGCTTCTAAGCCCTTCGATATCTCATCGGTATCGACAGCGGACGAAATTTCAGGGGAGGAAAAAGCGGAAGTAGGAGATTCGACCGGAGAGGAGGTGGCGGAAGTGGAGTTAGTGGCGGAGGAGTCAAAGACTGAGAACTCCGTAGGAGAGGTAGCGGAAGCTACTGAGGCAGCGGCAGCAGCAGCGGCCTCCATAGCGCGACGACGGCGTTGACCAGCACCCATTTTTCGAGTTAAAATTGGAAAGTAAGGCTCTAAAGGATTATATATAAGTAGATGATCTTTAGCTAGAAGATCTGGACTTACAAGATGGTAGATTTTAATATTTGAATGTAGTAAAGTATTGTAAAGGTTGTATGTAGAGTTGGTAAAGATCTTGAAGGTTGTAAATGGTAGGACTTCAACTTTTAAGCTGGAGAGAGAAAAAAAGAAGGGAGAACTTGGGAGAGATGAACTCTTTTATAAGAATTAAAATTAGAATTTGGGCCAGCGTACGGTGCGTATAGTTAAGCGACAATGAAGGCTTATTCGCTGTACGACGCCGTTCCTGACAAGTAGCCGTGCTAGACAGACGTTAGAATGAACCAAGATCTATCGAAGGCGAGCTCATAGGTAGAATCTTGGTACTAGATCAAGATGGTACGGACTAGTCTTGGTAGTCGCTGAGTATTGTGGGGTATGGGGTATGTATGAGGTGTGGGGTTTGGGGGGTTCATTCATATCGAGGGTACTGTATTAGAATGTTACGGCTATCGTTATACACAACTCGCTCCAACTTGTGTCTCTGAATGCATTGATTAATCGGTGAGTCATTTAAAATATCACAATCACCGTCCAGGAAAAAAATTCAATGCATAGCATTGAGTTACATCTAAAGATTCACTTTGTTCAATTTTTGTGCGTCAAATTTGAGCCGCAGTACAAACCGTTACAAACGCTATTATGGGGCGAAACTAGAATTACTAGCTTGCCCCTAGGACTAATTCCAAATTTGAAAGATTTTCATTTAACTACTTGGCTTTGTAAATACTACACAATTGAATATTGTTGAGATTATTGGTCATTTTCCAGCTGGAAAGCTTCTTCTGTTGAGTGTATCTGACTTGATTCATCACGACTAGAGAATAATTATAGAAACATGATTTCCCGTAGGTTTTTGAAAAATAGAATTATATAAGTAGCAAGCTGTTGTTAACGGTGACTTTGTTACCATTCTGCTACTTGATTGGCAATTACGTCAGGTTTGGGCTAGAAGTGCCTAGGTCGATACAGAAAAGATTTTTCTCCTAATTTAGCGATCTGTGGCTCTAGTGTGAAATTTTAGCCAGCCCAATTATGAGTCACCTACCTACCAACTACCTACCTACCCAGCTTCTGGTCCAGAACGCCACGAGTGGCTTCAACTTTCGAATTTCATCCAAAATAAAAGCCTCCATGTGGTAAGAAAGCAATTTTCAAGAATGTCAAATCACGCAGCGATCGAATTTGCAGTAGATCGACCTTCCAAACACGAGGAAAGGTCAATCTGCACTATGGAGCACCCGTAGAAGAACAAAATCATGCCTGTATCATAAATTATTCACGAAATGGAAATATTTACAGAGCCAAATATGTTCCGTTTGATCATGAATCTGTAAGCAGAAAACCCTGAGAACATTGAAGCTACATTGTATAACCTCTTTTGAACCTATGTGGTAGAACCTTGCTCTCGGAGATCTAACTTGAGTTCCTAACTTCACAAAAATCATGATTGAAGCAATCGGAATACACACACTTTCGGGCCGGTTTTCCCCGAGAATGAATGAAGTTTTGATCTTTCTCAAGATTTTAACCTTAAAATTGTGTATGTTGATGGGAAAGTCTTTGGAGTGCAGAAAAGAAGAGTATTTGAAGAGTATGAAGCTTGGTAAGCTAGCCTAGATCGTTGAGGATTTGAAAGTCATGGAGAGGCACCAAACTTAGAGAACCGCCATGCTATATGGGATAATTGTGTAGAGTTATTCGTATTAAATAGAAGGGAATTAGATTAATTAGACAGAAATAATTCTAGATATCTCTTTCAGTTTGAGAAAATATCATCCGAGTGACTCCAGCAATCGGACTCTCCCGAGTTAGTATGTCTTTTCCTAGAAACTAAAACTCAAAAATTTCTGATGACGATCAAGGGTGATACATCCATTCCCTTTCATTGAATACGATTTCAAATTCGACATTATCGAATGTTCCTACAGCGGCATATAAATCATGCATGCCTTCCAATCCTGTGACGGGGAGATCTTCTACAGAATCACCCTCTTCATGAAGATTCCATCCGCCATCCTTCTTACCGTCTCTAGTAAAGAAAATCTCAACATTAATAGGGGTTTGGGCCGTGGTCTGCGCTGGCCCAGAGTCGTAAGCAGGAGGGTTGTTAACATTCCGCGGAGTGAAAGTCATTCCGATCCCGAGTGTCTGACCGGCTTGGAATTTATTTGTGAAGTCCTTACCGCCCCAGAGATCATTGATATATTTATGACCATCGTCCCCGTGAACGCCTAGTGCTCCTCGATGCCATCCAGGCAATCTGAAGGTTGGGTATGGTTGCGCAACAAATCCTAAGCCCAAAGTAATCTCTCCGCGATACCTATTTGATATTTTGACCTCAAAGTATATCGTCTTGCCTATTTCAGTTCGTAAAGGAGAATGCGCGTATACGGAGTATAGCGGAAGGGTAGAAATGATGCATGAATCCTTGCTGTTGGACTTTGTCTTTCCCGCCCAAACACCCTGTCGTAGACGCGAAAGATCACCATTGTAAGATCTTGGTTTAATGACACCAATATTTGCAGCATCAAGTGCTTCTAGAGCTGCTTGTGGGAACTCTACAGGCGGTGCCAAAGGGTTCTGTTCACACCATGCTTTCCCTTGTAATGCCTCTTCTTCGGTGGCGTTGTTTGCATCGCTTCGCTGATAACCCATAGATGGGGGAGGGGGTAGAAGAGATGTATCGGGAACTGCGGTTTGCCAGTCATGATATGGTGCTTGAGCTTGCGACGGTGGTGGGCCCGAAGGAGGGGTATATTCGTGCGAAGGTGGGGGACCAGGTGGGGGTGCATATTGATCATTATAGGGCGCATGTTGTTGTGAAGGAGGTGGTCCCGCTGGGGGAGAATAAGATTCATTCTGCGGCATTTTTATTGAACCTTTACTTTGAGGTATCGTGTTGACTGGTCGTGAATTGAGGTTCTCGTTGTCAAATCCCGGTGATGCGTCGCCCTTCAATTTGCTTCCGAAACACATATTCAAAAGGTTTATAGAAGTTTTTCTAATTGAGGAACCAAGTAGTGATTATAAGCATGAGAATGTTGATTCATGATTCCAATCATGGCTGTGTGGAAATGGGCTGTGCAATCAAGTCATACGAATGCCTAGCTGTGCGTCTCCAGCGCGCCTAGTAAGCGCGGCCACGCCTTCCACAACTTCATCGCCTCGACAAAAATCATCAAAACATTCCAAATGAGCCGGCATACAAAATTTCCCGTAGTTTTGGCTACTATTGTTCAAAAGACCCGCAATTCATTCGGAAGATCCCTCTTTCGTGGGGAATTGAAAATCGGTATGTTCCGAACATTTTTGCGTCAAAGGAGATGGACAACATCCTTTGACCACTCAAATCCATGAGCTCACAAGCTCTGGTACCTTAGCTGTAAATGACCTATCTATGAATTCGATAAACCAATGAAATTGCTGATTCTTGGAAGTGAATGGCTTTATTGCTGGGCAACTTCCGATGAAAGAGACTTTTCTGTGGGCGCAAAGCCTTTTACTATCATGCATTTTACTTATATAAACAAATTTTCACTCGCGTCAGAAAGCTCTGTGCTCGTCGAAAAATGAGTTATGTCGTCACATCGCTCTGCTTCGTTCAGAATATCGGTTCATGTTAGTATACATCAACACAATGTGTATAATAGCAAGGCTTACGATACGTGCTCTAGTATCCGGACTGTGATGATTCGAGATATCCCACGTTCCAACAACTTCTGCACAATCAAGATGCTGCTGTGGACCTTATAGCTAAGAAGGCTGCATCTTTGCCATGGATTGGCCCACCGAAGGGGGGCTTCGTCATTAATGAGAATGGATATTCTCGTCCCTATACGAATGCCACAATTTTTGCTCAAGCAGATGCATTTGGAAAAGCTATCATTGCTTATGAGGTGCACGGAGATATTCTCAAGAAGTATGTCGCCCTGGGTGGGGATCGAAGTAAGCTGGGAAGTCCAGTCACAGACGAGTTGTGGACCTCTGACCGTGGTTGTCGTTTCAATAACTTCACTTCAGGTGCTATTTATTGCAATCCTAAGATTGGTACTTGCGCAGTGAAAAATGAGATTTATAAGAAATGGATGACTATGGATGGGGCTGAAGGGGTAATGGGATATCCAGTTTCTGACGTGAGTATTAAACATTCCTTGGCTTGACGCGTTTAGACGACAACTTCTAATACTATATACAATCTGTTGTTTTTCTTTCACTCTTCGATGCTGAATAGGCACTGATTTTTGTATATGAAGGAAACATTGACGCCCCGCGGAGTGACTCGATTCAATATGTTTTCACACGGTGGAGCTATCTATTACACTGTAACTCGCGGGGCATTCTGGATTTATGGAGATATCTACAAGAAGTGGATGGCCACAGGTGGCGAGTTGGGGGACCTAGGCTATCCTGTATCAGACGAGGAATTGGCGCCCGACGGAGTGTGTCGTTTCAACAAATTCTCTGGCGGTGGCGCTATATTCTCAACCCCAGAAGTAAGCAAGTTTGATACTCTGGCTTTGCACTTCCCAGTTCCGACTTTCCAACTATAAAAATGCCCTACTTGTTGATCAACGTTGCTCGAACTCCTCATCTTTATTATCTGATTAGCGGTTACTAATCTTAAAACTTCCAGCGTGGTGCGGTTAAGGTAGCTGGGGAAATTTACAAAAGGTGGATAACTCTTGGCGGAGGAAGTGGATACTTGGGCTCCCCCATCACCGATGAGATTTCTGGCAAATACGATACTCGTTATAATGACTTCTCTGGCGGTTCGATATGGTGGCATCCCTCTATTGGCACCCGAGAGTTTGCTGGAAAAGAAACAAATTATAACATCAACATCACCGAAATTTTGATCGATGAGCTTCGCTCTGCGCGTGTAGACACTCTTTATATTACAGCTTCCATCGCTACAGTATCTGGCGGGGTGCAATCTATTGCTCTTCCTCTTGGCGAGCACTCGGTTGGTTTCGTGTATCCTAGCTTAATGTTCCAGAATTGTTCAATTGGCGATGAAGAGACAGTCACATTTACATATCTCGTCGTCCACAACCATTCTAATAAACGAGAGGATGTTCGCAAAAAACTCGAGGTCGCCATACATAAACTTGGAACAGCTGCCATAGAAGAGAGTGTGATTTCTCTGAATTCAATGCGCAAGCTATCGATTGGAGACGCTATCGGTACAGCTATTGGCAGAGCTCCTGTGCCTCTGAGTCAGCCAGCTGTTCGCCCATTTGAGGGATGGGCCGATAGTGGTGGTCTAGGGATGCCATTCCTGAATTGTGACGGCGTTGTTGCTGCGGAGGTCACAACGCTGAAGGGTAGCGATATCAAGGCACATTTAATCGTGGGGAACACATGGAAAGTTAACGATAAGCATGTGGGCACAAAAGCGCCTGATTGGTGCGGCTCAATTTCCCGATACAATGTATCATGGAATGTGGAATTTTCATGAACTTACTTGTTGCGTAACGTTGATGTATCCTGCAAGTTGCTTGGTAGTGTATAAATTTTTCGATCACCTAACATTTTTGATCTGGATCATCAGCGGGTGTACGGACTAACAGGACACTGCAAAAATGGACTCGTGAATATCTCTTGATGTATCAAATCATTCACTTTGGGAATTATTACAATTTTTGATTAGAGATGGAACAATCAGAATGTGAATTCTGAATCAAACAATTGGAGAATGAGTTTGCTAGAAACATCAAAAATTGGGAAGTGTCCTGTCAATCCATGCACCCACCAGTGGATCTGTCTTTCTTTCAACAAGGTAGCGAAACTATGAGGTGGATTTAATGATGAATTATTGTCCCTTTTGACAAACGCTTGCAAGTTCTGAATTTTGAGATTGAAAAATAGCTCATGAAGCACGATGACTGATAAATTCCAAAAATGAAATGCCATTAAAATCTATGACCGGATGGTGACGATGAATGTGTTCTACTGAATGCAACAAACCACTATTGCATGAGATTGAATATCGATCGTGTTTGTTCTATTGACTAGGTACTTAATGGTTATTCAACTGATACATACCAGGTGTTAGTTTATCGTATGCAAGATAATGGAAAATCAACATCTTGTAAATCAATCGAAGTCGTCTGATGTCTTCTGCTTGAAGTCTTCAGGCGAGGGCAGTGAAGAGTCAGAGTCTGGGGCACTCGGATCAACTTTACCCCCATGTTCCTAGGTAGTTTCGGGTATTCTCTAACCTCATCTTCACTCACAACAACGGCCAACGAGACTCCGAAGAGAAGTGTTACAAACTTCTACTCTCATGCATTGAGATGATAACAAAGAGCTATATACCTATATTGGCGTCACTTAAAATAGGATCCGATAGGAATATGAGTCTGCGAAAGACCAAGGAATTCTCAAAGATTGTTCCCACTTACTTTGTCCAGCTTCATTATACTATCACGCTAATTCCCGTCCCGTACTATCGCGATGTGAATATTACTGAGTCTAAATGAATGGGAGAGATGCGCTTGGTCAATCATGGAAGGAAACGATCTCTTCATGTCGACAGGAAGACATCAGACGCAATCTCAAAGCTCAAGCTACGTGAGATAAAATGTATGGAGCTAATGTTGTTCTAAAATTTCTTCCGCAGAATATTGCCAATGATGGAATGCTTGACTTCATAATTCAAGGAAGGAAAGGAAATATATATGAGCTCATGTATCGTCATCTCGGGTTCTATGAGTTTGGCATCACTGGAATATGTCATCGGACTTATTAAATTGAGATCAGAAGGGTGGGTCATTGCAGTACAAATCCTTTGTTCTTTGCATTATTTGTTTCAATTTTCGTTTGATCTGATCTTTCATCATGCTCTCTCCACATCTGATCATATCGTACTATCATCCAAAGTCTTGTCACTGGAGCATTTTTTTAAGACGAGGAGCTCAATTGTATCAAATTTGATAATACGTTTTACCTTTAGCTAGGTACCCAGCAATTAAGTCATCCTGGGCGTAAAAAAAAATACCAAGTCCAAATGTACCTCTTCGCCTTGGGCGGGCAAGTCAAAAAAAATATCTTTGTGTGGGAAATTTTCTAAGGGATAGAGCAGTCAAACTCTTCATGCATCTTACCAAAGCTACGAGGTTGTGAGAATTCTGGAGTTTCGATATCAATGTTGAGACAGAGAATCACTTCAGACGTGGGGTCTATCAATGCAAAATACTAGATGCGTTTCAGTTTGCTCCACAGAACACCGTTTTCAGGGTCGAGACACGAGTGAACAAGATGTCTGTGCTCTGTGATATAGATTAAGCGCAGTACAGTATAGGAAATTTATGCAATCTTTGGCTATTGTACAATAGATACCATGGTTGATAGCCTTTTTCCAAGGTCGTTCGATAATGACCCCTGATTGAGCCGAATTTGCAAAGTCATAATATGGCAATATCCAGAACTCCTTGTCGTGAAATTTTTGAAAGCTCTCTCGCATCTTTCTGTTATCACCGCCGGTCGTGTAAGATATCGATATCAATTTTGAATTGTCTTGCTTGTTCTTGTTTGTGGATCCATACGTTGGAATTTACAGCACATATTACCACGACACTTACACTCATGCCTGTTTAATAATTAATATATCGACGCTTTTTAACGAATACTTACTTCATCGTAGCTGCGGATTGGGATTTCTTGTTTTGATGGAGTTGTTGAATGACACTTATAATGCGAGCTGTACAGACGGAAAGGTATCGGTGCGATCAGCTCCCAAATCAGGACCCAGAAAGGAGATCGAGATCAGGCATGAGCATGACGAGTCTGCGGAAGTCTCATCACTCAAACGGAAAGCAGAGCGTGAAATTATGGAAGTCACTGTGATCACATCGATTCCCTCGACATCCACGCAAGCTTCGACTAGCTCATTGATAACATCGCCCCCTTCATTGTTCAACCGGGCTGCTCTTGCAGAACCTCAGGCCGGACTTGACTGCAATTCTCAGATCGAGCAGTTCAAATCTCAAGCTTCACAGCAGAACTCTCAACAGCTATCCCAAGCAACACAACAATTTTCGCAACAGGTTTCACAGATATCACAAAAGGCTTCGCAATCTGTTAGCCAAGCCCTCGCTGTCCAAACCTCTGCTCAGATTGCTCAGTCTTCAGCACAAGCTGCTCGATCCTCGGCCCAAGCTGCTGCCGACGTAGCCAATTCTTCTTTGTCTTCCATTAAAATATCAGCATCATCAGCAGTGGCTGCGGCATCAGCGAGCGCTTCTAGTGCGGCTATGAGTGCGGCTATGAGTGAGTGAACTTCCACTGGCTATACATGTCCGGGTAGTACCAGGCCCACTAAGATTGAGATCTTCAACTACTAGAAGAAAGTTTGCTTGTAAAGAATGGGTGTTGACTGTTCATAGGCGCTTCTGCATTTGTGTTTTCGGCTCTTTTGTCAGCCAGTTCTTCTGCTTCCGTGGCTATTTCTTCAGCGGATGCTTCTGCTAGTGCCGCCAGGGGTATGTTATTGAAATCCTGTTCTAGAACTCATGCTCAAATTGCACGGCTAATGTTTTAACCTAGCTACTGCCACATTTGCGATTGCACAGGCTCAAGCTACAATCTCATTAACTAACGTATGGATAAATATCACAATAACACATGCACTACACATAATTAACGATAAAATTAGTCACAAGCTTCGGCGTCAGTACGATCATCACAAGTCCAAGCCATCACAGCAACACAGGCTGCAATCGCAATTGTGGGCTCCATAATCGGCTCCTCACTTTTATCCATCCTCTTATATTTCCTCCTATCCAGATACAGAAAACGCAAACAAAACGAAGTCGAAAATGACAATTTCCCGGTGAAAAATTACAAAGAACCATTAACCCTTCCAATCTCAGAGCGGAAACCCATAAGAATATCATACATCATACCAACTCCTCCTCCCGATGCCCGATTTCCGGAAGGAGGTCCTTTCAGTCTGGACAAATTCTGGTCGATGCGAAGGTCGAGAACGATGAAGAATGCGGATGAGAGGTCAATGGATGTTCCGTTGGCTTTTGCAGGAGAACCGGAACAATCAGCTTCGGAATCAACTCCGAGACCGAGTCTTGGGGGTGCGAAGAGGGCATTGGTTTATGATGCGGATTTTCCGGATCAACCACCGAAATTTGATGATGGAGAAGAACTGGGCGATTTTGGGGGTGGGGAGAAGAAAGGTGGGCTAGTAGGGCTGGGCGGCGTGGGTAAGAAGGCTTCGATTGGAAAAGCTTTTTGAGAGATATTGATGAATCATTGGAGTCAGGTAGATAGGATAGAGTGGTGGGCAGGACTTACACTCGTAATGATGCTATAATGATGATGGGTAAATGAGGGTATAGATTATTTATTAATACTACATACACGTTAGATACGTTACTTTACTTTCCAGTCTCGTTCGATAATTCTGGTAGTTCTGTATTCATTGGGTTACACAGAAAAGGTTTGTTGCACGTCTTACGCGAAATTAGAGTTGGTACCTAGGGAAACAGATGAAACTTCAATAGATAAACTTGAAAGAAAAACACACTGAACTGCTCAAGAATCAAATTAATTATTACAAATACAACTTCTCATTCTCGTGTTTCGTCCCGTCTCTTGCCATACCAAATTCGCCAAATTCCATCTTCGCCTCTAATCGCCTTTGTCGAGAGCGTTCATTTCCCATATGCTAAATTGATATCTTTCTCGTATCTCTCGAAAATTGCTTTCCGGTTGAGTTTCATGGTCGCTGTTACTAGTTTCTGTTTTTGTTGTTCATCGTTAGCATTGTTTGACATATACTCTCCTCCCTTCTCTCCAGGCAGCCGTGCTACCCGTCATGTCTTGAATATAAGTTTTGAACTTTAGCATTCTGGCACATACGACCATAGACTGAAGAGAATTGGGCATCCCGTCCGCTCTGCCATACACAAGCTTCAGATCGGTGGATTAGTAGTTGGGTGGGTGACCACCAGCGAATCCCCACTGTTGTATGTCCATTTTGCCTTTTTGTTCTTGCTCTCTCACAGATGACAGAGAAATGAAAGCAAACTCACATTAACTGTCGTCCACTCTTCATCAGCCAAAACAACACCCTTAATGATTTCCATACCAGCTAGCCCTGCTCTCTTTCCTACAGTCTGCATTTGCTTCAATACTTCACGATTAATGGATTCATTGTGTACTAAATCACCGATGCCATGGCCTTCTATACCGATTGATTCGGCGAGCTTTTTGAGGGCCGGCTCGGCTGGAACGACAATTGCGATAGGATGAGTCTCGGAGATCGAGGCGTAAATGCATATATTCGCTACTACAGTTGCGGATCGATAGACCGATTCTAGCTATTGTAGAATTAGCACACCGGATACACATGCGTAAGATTATGCACTATAGATACCTTCTCCAAAGCAATGTACTCTCCGTTCATCGTTTTCACCAGGTTCTTTTTGCGGTCAATGATCTTCAAGTGTCCGTTCTTATCCCACTCCCCGATATCCCCAGTTTTGAACCACCCATCTGAAGTAAGCGCTTCGGCTGTCTCGACAACATTATCATAGTATTCGGACATGACGCTAGGCCCTCGAATCCAGATTTCTCCCTGTGGAGGGGTGTTAGTAGCGAAGTATCCCGCGTCCGGAAAGTCGACGAGTTTTATTTCGATACAGGCAGGGATATCACCAGCTTGGAGGGTAAAGGAAAGGGGGTCGCATATTGCGCCCATACTGATAGAATGTTAGCATACTTGATTTGACATATAATTGGATGGGAGTCACCAACGCGGCAGTCTCTGTGGATCCATATCCAGATATCATGGGCGTAATGGTGTGAGAGATGAATTCTTGGGTTTGTTGAGATATGGGGCCAGCTCCGTTCATACAGAATCTCAAACGTCCACCGGTCGCTTGTTTAACTTTGTTAAATACAACAGTATCCAAGATACTGGAACCAGGTAGGCCGCTTGAGGATAGCAAACGTTTCGAGTAGAAAGCACTCCAGAATAAGCTACGGACAACTGGACCCCCTTTGTTCACATTGGCTATTACACCTTTTTTGACAGTCTCCCAAACAGATGGTACACCCACTAGAAGTGTGGGCTTTAATTCGAGGATATCACCTTTGCAGTTTTTCATGGAGGTTTCGGAAAGAGTTCGGGGATGGCCATAACCCATCAGGGCCCCCCAGTAGAGGCATGCGTTTTCAAATACAAATTCGAAGATGTGAGCGAGTGGAAGGTATGCTAGCAGTGTATCTGAAGGACCTAGATAGTCGCCGACAATACTATTGGCTCCAGCAACTATAAAGATGTCAGTTTAGGGAATAACAGAAAACTAGTATACTAACTGGCAGCCACGACGTTCTTATGCTTCAGCGAAACCCCTTTTGGGGTACCACTTGATCCAGATGTGTACATAATGCAACACAGATCTTCGGATTTGGGCGGCACAGCTTCGACGGGGTGTAGATGTCCCAAATCTATGAGCTCATCATAGCTCAAAAGCGTCAGGTGACTGTGGCTTTTTTCAATTCTTTGATACTTGACAATGAGAGTTCTGTATCACCGTCTGTGTTATAGATCACGTATTTGATATGCTTCAAGTCTTCAAGGGACTCAAGTAGAGTTTTCAAAAGTTGTGGTTCTAAGAATATAGCCTTGGCTTTCGTTTGTATGAGAGAATGACGGAGTCCTTCGACACCAAGAGTATCGTATGCAGTGACGATAGGCATGGATTGGGACATGGAACCATGAGCGATTGACAGCCAATGGGCACTAGATTGACATAAGCTTGGATATCAAATAGGCTGTAATATGAGCAATTACCTCGTTGTTGCAAAGAGATGAACTCGATCATCCTTAATCAGTCCAAGTTTCCTCAAACCCGCTCCCACACTCAGTACCGTAGCTTCATACTCCTTGAAACTTAGATATTCATATCCACTCATCTCAAAATAAGTCCATACTTTATCTAACTCCTGTGTTTGTCCATTGATGATCTTCTTTATCTTTTTCGTCTCCTCATGTTTCTTAATAAGTTTTCTAGACCCCAGCGCTCGTGCATTGCCAAAACGACGAGAGCTCCGTTGTATGACATCGAACACAGTCTCGATACCCAATTCTGGATGGGAAAGAAGGTCTGGGTATTGGACGTTACGACGAGGGATAGTTTCACCCGAAACTTGTGGAATCCCTTGTACTTCTGCTGTGAAGGGAGGTTTTCTAGACATCCGGGGGGAGAAAATCGTAGCTTTAGTCTTGATCTCGGTTTGGGAAGACATTGTGAGATTTGGTAGCATATAGAAATCAACGTTTGACGGTAGACTTCTGGATTAAAAGAAATAAATTGGAACAGGAAGATAGCACTGATGAAGGGAGCAGTCTGATATTCAATAGTATTACATTCCAAGATTCCAACACACTCTCAACCAATTTTAAGCCACCCAAACCCCTTCAATCAATGGGAATGTGACTGTTATCCTCATAGCTTTGGTGATAAGCCGAGGCTCTTCCTTGCACCTCATGCCTTTGTTGATTGACATAAAATCACGGAGGGAGGTGTTAGGCCGCCTCCGACTTGAAGGGCTTGTCATCTTTCTCGAGACCGAGTAATCATTAATTAATTAATATCAGACAGTTTGAAATGGTTGCTGATCGTGGTGACAGATTATAATATTGTAATGAAAGTGTGAATGGTATCATCATTTGAAGTTGAGCTTTAGATAAAATATTATTTAGACAAGTGTTATTAATGTTTGGTAAAGAGAGGAGAGAAACATCCTAATGAGATTGGGATGACGGCGCGCTAGACCTTATTAGATATTAGAATGAGTGAAGGATCCCCTAACACGAAAGACCGTACAGCGAATGCGATATGCAACAAAATTCAAAATGTTGGTCAAAGTCACATTAAAGTCACGTGTACCCATGTGATTGATTGGTGATGAACGCTCACCGGGAGTTATAAAAACTTGCACTTTTTTGTTTTTACAGTGGGCACCTATTCTCATAACTCCGCATTCAAAGTACTATTATCCACGCTTGTGCGCAAACTTTCTCCACTTGAAGTAACTCGAATGAATGCAAAATTATCAAAATGAAAAATCGATGGATGTAACAGTAGCAGATTTAGGATATCTGAAAGCCCTCCTGTCAAAAAACTTGCAAGAACAAAAGGCAAAAATATAACGACGTCGGCATGATTCGAACATGCGCCCCCGAAAGGAATTGATTTCTAGTCAATCACGTTAACCACTCCGTCACGACGCCTGTTGATTACATAAAAAGATATGCGCTTGAAAAAAATATATACTAATACAAAAATATCAAGTAACAGTGAATTCTTCAGGTCAGATCTCCATTAGCTGATGTGCGAAGGGATTTGCAGAGCATCGAACAATCTACTCAAATATTATTCTCGACTTCAGCCCTAAGAAGAACGACTATTCTCTTTCAATGCCAAATGGCTCACTATATTCAAGTATCTGGGCATTGCACAGGACATCGAGCGAATGATCTCTCTCGCAGACAAACTTTTCCATCAACGGAGCTGTTGACTGCAGATACAAAGATGTCCCTTCGGATAATTCGCTGTGGGAGATTTGCACATTGATTGAGTCACCAGAATTAAAAAGTTCCTCAGACAAACAACAGACCGAAAAGAACATGCGACTAGTTGTCTAAGTATTTTGGTATTGATACCCGCTTTGCCAAAGTTACTGGGGCTTCGAACTTGACATCCATCAGCTTTTCAACATTTACAATTGAAGTGAGAGCATTTCCCTTCAAACTCGATACCTAAATTCCAAGTATATTACTGGCTACTACTGGTGCAGCTACACAGCTATGCAGTGAGTATCGCCAGGAGGTACATACATAATCCCGATGCTTGAGCATTCAAACCTACGTCAACCCCGCACCAACGTTCATGCTCTCTTACCGTTCTCGATTGCATGATGCATCAAGATGGCGAGACCGGCCGGTAAGCCTGAGAAGACGGCTGAACATGCAATGCGATATCCGGTCTTCTCGGGATATTGCATGGGAGCGTAACACAGAGCAGGGGCTGAGTGAGTGCCACAACAGTAATAGATTCTATAAATTCGGAATTGACAGTGATATGAAATGTGCAGCTACTTCAAATACGTTCTATTCATTCGATGGTAGCTATTGAGTAGGCAATACAAAACTGTGAAACACGTTTCCTTGGAAGATTGCACCCTTCTTCTTGCTCTCTTTCCCCTTCCCCCTCCGCATGGATTGGAAGCTTGTTGGCTATCCTTTAATACCCGAGACACCGGGTGACAATCTAGACATTTTCCGGTTGACCCGGTTGGAACATATTTTACCGGTCTGCTTTTCTCTATTCAATTCAATTAAATCGCCTGTAAAGAAAAGTTATTAAAAACAATTCGAGATGTGTTTGTGTATGTGCGTATTGACACGACCCCTTTTTACTGATATAGTTAACAAATAACTCGCTCGGGTTGATCATCATTACCTATCTTATCGGATAGTTAGAAGTTATAGTTCTGAACTATCCATCTATCCATCTATCCATCCATTCCATCCCCATCAATCTTTTCCGCCCCTCGGCCCCTCTCACATCTCAACCAGGACATTCGCGTTTCGGTATTTGTTGTCTCCCGTAGAATCCTTAGTGTCTTCTCCACCTTCACTTCCGACAAAAATAACATATTACGATCAAATTGGCGACAACAACCCTTTACTCGACATGTCAAGCCGGAAGAGAATATCGCAAGCTTGTAAACCATGTGGTGTTAAGAAAATAAAGGTAAAATCCTACTGTTTACAATACAGTGTACACGCGAGAATGATCCTAGCCATTGACTAGTCAATTCACAGTGTGATGGCGGGGCTCCCGTGTGCGGTCCTTGCCTGAAGAGAAACGGAGAATGTTCTTACGGTATATCGAAACGTGGGCATTTTCCACGGAAATTCAATGATGATGGAAGGTGCGTAATTGACTGCATGATTTTCAATCTCTTGATACTTATTGAAATATATCAGTCTGAACACTGCCGGTCGTGAAAACTCGTCTAACCCATCGCCTGTTCAACAACCTTTAGGAGGTAACCGCCTTCCTATTACGTGCTCTGACACACCACTCATTCTCCAAGGCTCTGTTAGGCCATCTTCAGGTTATACCCATAGCTCATCGTCGCAAAGAAAAGATGCCGGACCAAAGAAATACCCTTTCCATGCTGAGGTAACGAAGCGTTTGTTTCAGACTTACTTCGATTATATTCATCCAATATGGCCGATTCTGTACAAACCAATGTACACTTCATTCGATTATACGTACCCTTCACCTAGTATCCCAAATGTCTTAGCATGTGCAATGTTCGCCATGGCGGCTTGTGTAGAAAAGCTTCAACCTTCTCCACAGCCGTTTGATGACCCGCACGTCATGAGATCGGAAGAGCCTCGCTTTTATTTCGAGGAATCCCTGAACTTGCTACAAAGAAGCAATGACACCAGTGATAAGTCGTTGAAGAACGCTTTCACTCCTTCAATCGTAAATTGCCAGACATTGACAATCCTTTCACTGCAGCAACATGGAGTGGCTGAATATTCCAGAGCGGCGATTTTCTGTGGACTTGCGTCATCAATGGCTATTGAGTTACGCTTGCATAGACCTCACGAAGCGCATGGTCCACAGCGTGAAATTCGCCATCGTCTCTGGTGGAATTTATACATTCTCGAGAAGATGATTTCTTGTGAAATGGGGAGACCAGTGATGTTGAGAATCGAGGAGACTGATACTCCATATCCCTCTACATCCGAGGCGGATGAATTTGAACTACTTCCTAGTAGTATGAAGCGACAAAATACGAATGATATACATAATGTTGGCAAGATGCATACACTGTCAGTCCTTGTGACGACCATTCAACTTTCGGTCCTAATGGAAAGACTTTCGAGAGAAGTGTATGGATTGATAAGCCGGAGAGCAATCCGGGATGACCGAAGTTTTGGTGAAGGAAAACGGATGGAATTATGGTCTTCTTTTCAAAAGTGGGAGAGTGATACTGAAGCCTCTCCCTTACGCTTAGATTTGAGCAGTCATTTGACATCAGTCCCTGGTATCGTCACTAACTATGTTGTAAGTGTGTAATCTATTGATGTCTGGTCTTTGCTCATTGAATCTAGATTATGCACTCGGGGGTGATTCTTTTACATCGCCCTTTCATTGCTCGATGGATATCAAACCCTGCAAATGCCAATGCTTCGGCGCACCCACTCAAGATTTGCCTAAATAGTGCGAATGCAATTTGCACTATCTTAGAGAAGTACTTTGATGATTTCTATGGTCTGCCATGTGATATGGTATTTAGTATTTTTACAGCTGCAAGCACGCTTTTATATCAATCAAAGCAACCGGACGGAGGCGATAATGCAGAATCACAGCGTCGTCTTAAGATGTGTATTCACTGGCTTTCTGTTCTTGGGAGAAGTTGGAATAGTGCTGGAGCTCGTCAACAGATTTTGGTAGATTGTAAGTCCCTGATTTTGCAATTCACAAATTTGTGACTAACTTTTAAAGTATCAGCAATGCCACGAGATGTTAATATGACAACCCTGGTTAATGCAGCCGCCGCTGTCGATGCCCAGGAGTCAACATCCTCGCAGCTTCTATCTGAGCAAGAATCAATGTATGCCCGACACTCGACAGCAGACAATACTTCTGGCACAGCGAAACCTGGAGCAGCAGAGGACTGGGGATTTTTGAGAGGATTTGGAGATTCATCTGATGAGTTTTATATTCTAGATGAAGAACTTCGAGTTTTACTAGAGAGTGATCAGCAATGGAATCTCTAAGTCACATGGCTCAATTCATTACAACGGTATCATTACGCTTATCAGCCTCGATTTTATAATTTTACCACTACATTTCAATAATTTCGATAGGTCCATTATATTCCTGTCTTCCAAAGCAGAAATAGAATATCGCACCGAAAAACAACCATCCACCCATGACAACCACGCTGTAATTCATATTCTGTGCGGTGACAGGTTGCACACTGGGAAACGTGCAGAATACTATCGCCACGAGAAGCCAAACAACAGCAATAACATTTACTATCAGTCCCAATGTGTCACCTAACCTAAATGGTCCGTATTGGCTTCTCCTGATATTCTTCCTACCATAGAATATCATGTAGATAATTGGCACAAGATAGGAAGCATACATTCCCAGAACGGACATCGATACGATGGCATTGAAGGCAGTGCTATTCCCGAGGTATATCAGACCAAG